GATTACCTATAAGGCCCTATATGGCTTAGGCCTGGGATATTTGGGGGGCCATCTGCAGCCAGCAACAGCTGCCCATCGCCCGGTGCGTTCCCACAGAGAGGGCCTCCTCAGGATGCCGTCGGCCAGACAGTGTCAGCTGGCGACCCCCAGGGGGAGAGCTTTCTCTGTCGGCGCACCTACCCTTTGGAATCAACTGCCCCTGGAGCTCCAGGTGGCCGCTGACCTCCGCTCTTTCTGTCGTGACCTGAAAACGTGGCTATTTAGTTTGGCTGGCCTGGACTGATGGGATTTTAATTTTTGACTTGTTAGTCTTAATTGCACTTTTAACTGTTAAATTATGAGATTTAATTTAATTTAATTTCTTTTTAACTTTTTCATTAGATGTTTTTTACTGTTGTGAGCCGCTCTGAGTCCGACTGGAGATAGAGCGGCATATAAATCTCATTAAAGAAATAAATAAATAAGTGTCACTGGTTGCATTTTCCAATTAAGGCATTTGGCAAGTTCCTTGGTCACTCCTCTCCTCTTCAATCTGCCACCTGTTGGGATGACCTTTGTTCCCATGAGAAAGCTTTTTGTTTTGACTGCTAGCCAGTCTATCTACTTCCCTTCCCCCTTCTCAAAGTTCATGGCAACTATGAGGCAGCAAAAGATGGCTCCAGCCAGGTTCACTTCAGAGTCGACACTTATCTGACTCAAAGACGTGTACAATCACCAACACAAATTTGGGAATATTCTATGCAACAACAATGACAAAAAATCATGGGTCTTTATTTCCTTTGAAACGCTTCTATCTGTCGTGTTTCTAAGGCCAGAATGGTGGTACTGGAAGTTGAAATCCACATGTCATAAAGTTGCCAAGGTTGGAGACCCTTGCTTTGATTGTTTGATTGTTCTCATGCAACTAAAAATACCACCCCAAAACATTGCTGTAACGTCAGGAGGTTGGTACCAGGGGTGAAATCCTGCAGGTTCTAACAGGTTCTGGAGAACCAGTAGCGGAAATTTTGAGTAGTTCGGAGAAACGGGAAATACGGTCTCTGGCTGGCCCCAGAGTAGGGTGGGAATGGAGATTTTGCAGTATCCTTCCCCTGGAGTGGGGTGGGAATGGAAACTCTTCACTATTTCTTCTTCCATTTCTACCTCAAATAGATATTTATATGCTTTTGTTATAAATTTTTCTTCATTGCCTGTCAATATTCTATCCAATTGTTCTGGTATGCTAAATAAACACAACATTATGATTTCCTGCTTTATCAGAATTCTCCAAATCGAAATCTCCGAAGACTGATATGTCAATGGTTCTTTCCCAGGGCAAGGAAATGAATGGAATGGAACTAGATTATTTGACTCTGTGTTAAGAGTCTATTGTTTCATGGAAGCACACATCAGCACTTCTGTTCCGCTTTTGAAGTTAACCAAGCAGCTGGTCTCCTCCAGAGGGTTTATGAGTGGCTATGAATATGGTTTTCTCCACTGTGACTCTTGCACAATAATACACAGCTGTGTCTTCAGTGTTCAGGTTTGTCAGCTGCAGAAATGTGGTGCTGATGGAAATGTCCACAGTGATGGTGACTCGATCTTTGAAAGCTTCAGCATAGAATGTATTAAAGTTGTCTGTCCTGATAGAACCTACCCAGTTCAGTCCTTTTCCTGGTGCCTGTTTGACCCAGCCCAAACGATAGTAATTGAAGGTGTATCCAGATGTCTTACAGGTCAATCGTATCAATTCACCAGGCCTTTTTAGTTCTGGGCCAGACTGAAGAAACTGTATTTCAGATTGCATTCCTGTTGATAGGAAGAATAAGAATAGGAATAGGTATATGAAAGATGGAGGAGGAGGAGGAGGAGGAGGAGGAGGAGGAGGAGGAGGAGGAGGAGGAGGAGGAGGAGGAGGAAAGTGAGAGAGAGTGAGAGATTTTTAACACACAAATTCTGACATCCTATATTTTCTAATATGTTTATCTCTCTTTTCCGTCATCCAGATTTTGTTGTTGTTTTTGTTAGTTGCGATGTCATGTATAACCCATGGCAACCCCATGAACAATGTTCCTCCAGACCTTCCTGTCATCTACCATCCCCCAGAGTCCATTTAAGCTCACGCCTACTGCATCAGTGACTCTACCCAGCCACCTCGTTCTCTGTCGTCCCCTTCTTCTTTTGCCCTCAATTGTTCCCAGCATTGGGCTCTTCTCCAGTGAGTCCTTCCTTCTCATGAGGTGGCCAAAGTATTTGAGTTTTGATTTTCAGGATCTGGCCTTCTAAAGAGCAGTCAGGGTTGATCTCCTCTAGGACTGACCGGTTTGATCGCCTTGCAGTCCAAGGGACTCACAGGACATCTAGATTTAATAGAATCTAATAATTTAGCTATTTCTCCAGTTCTGTATTTAGCAGTCATCCTCCCCAGCAAAGGAAAATATTATGTCCTCCAGCACAAAATGGCATCAGAATGGACAAAAACTGAGGCTGTGATTCAGGAATATACCTAAGTGGATATTCTCCATTTTATTTGATATCTATACTCTCTTTTTTTTCCCTTTGTTTTTTAGTTCCTTCGAAGGGTTGACTGCCTAAATCATTATAGTTGAGCAGGAGAAATTTTTCAATCTAGGTTGCCTTACCTCTCAACAAACCTGCCAGTAGGAGAAGATATAGCCAGGAAGACATGATTGTAATGAGCTAAGAAAGAAAACGATAGGATGTGGTCAGTCTGCCAAGTCAATTTTATATTTATAGATATCTGAAGGAGGAAATCAGGTCTTTTCATTTGCATACGGATGGTATAGGATATTACATACTGTATATTAAAATGCTCTGCTTTCATGCTTTACAATTGCAACAATGTACGACTTACTCAGTGAAAGCCAGTAAAGAGAACACCAAGGATTTGGATCTTGCCTTCAACTCTACCTGCTATATTATTGCAGTTCATTGCATAGTCACCCGTGACTGATCGGGATTTTGTCAATGCTGTTGGTGCTTAAGTGGTGAGTGGTGCGGTGGCCTAGAGATGGAGCTCTCGCCTCAGAATCAGGAGGCTGTGAGTTCGATCCTAGGTAAAGGCAGATGTTTCTGTCTCTGGACAAAATGAGAATATATCTGCTGGAAAAAAAAAACGCCGCATTGGTGACAGGAAGGGCATCCGGCCAATAAACACTCAGCTCCATTTAGTTGCCCAGACTCCACCCCGCAAGGTCGTTAAATGAAGGTGATGATGGTGCTTAAGTGATGCTTCAGATGTTTCAGAATTGCACCCAAGCTGTGCCGATATTGATACCATCTTTGCTTCTTTTTTCATTCCACTTCTACTTGTTGGTGTTTGTATTTTGTTATTTTCTCCAGTTCTTACTCTTCTATGCTGCTGCCTTCAGGCAGTGCCCTGTGTACTATCCAGAACTTGTAATACAGGTACTCCTCGACTTACAGCAGTTCATTTAGTGACTTTTCAAAGATACCATCGGACTGCCAAAGGGACTTATGGCTATTTTTCATGAGTTTTTTCAGCTTCCCCAAGATCAGATCATCAACATTTAGATGTTTAGACTCATATTTGTGACATTTGCAGTGTCCAGGGGGAAAGTTTTTTTAAAACTTTCTTACAAGCAAGGTCAACAAGGAAACCAGATTTCCTCAACAATCATGTTGCTAACTTAACAACTGCAGTGATTCACTTAGCAATTGTGCCGAGAAAAGTTGTAAAATAAGGCAAAATTCACTTAACAAATGTTTTGCTTAGCAACCATAATTTTGGGCTCAATTGTGGTTGTACGTTGAGGAATAACCGTAATAGCAGAAACTGTGGCAATACGGACAAGGAAGATCAAGTAGTGGTCAGCAACAGGTGGTGGATGCATTCCCATCATTTTTGGTTGAACCATCTGACTGGCCTACACCCACCCCATCGCCAAGTAGTTTAACAACGTACTGCAAGGAAGTGAAATTAAAAATTGGTTAACATCTGACAATATCAATTTGATAATGAAAGCTCCAGCAAAAGGGCTAGTCCCAGGCAACTACAGGCTGAAAACCTGCTTAGGAACAATTTTCAAATTACTAAGTGGTGTGATAATTGATGCAGTCCAACAGCAACAAGTTGAAAAGAAGCTTGGCTTTCCACCTGAGCAGGACAGAAACTGCTCAAACAGAAGAGAAACAAAAGTTCATAACACAAGAGGTCAAACATACATCATCATCATCTTTTAATGACTCCCTAATCCCTTGCAGGGTGGAGTCTGGGCAACTGAATGGAGTTAGCATTTAGTGTTTACTGGCCAGATGCCCTTCCTGTCTCCAATGAGGAGTTTTGTTCAGCAGAAATATTCTCATTGTGCTCACAGAGAGAGAAATACCTAGGATCGAACTCACAGCCTCCTGATTGTGAGGCAAGAGCTCCACCTCTAGGCCACCGCATCACTCCAAGAAGCCAAACATACATAATACTCAATTTTTCCAAAAACCCTGTGAGATAGAATAAAATTCCTTTTTGGCCAAGTGTGATTGGACACACAAGGAATTTGTTTTCGGTGCATAAGCTCTGAGTGTACCTATAAGTAAAGCTATAAGTGATAAATCATGATCATAGTCATCATAAAAATACATTCATCATAAATCATAACACTTAGTGACAGTCATGGGATACTAAATAAATAAGATGGGTTGGGTTTAGAAAGAAAATTAGTCTTCCAGACTCTGTCCATATGCAAACTTTCTCACCATAATCATCTCTTTGCTAAAACAATAACAAACAGTTGTTGTGTATCGGATTTTGTAGCTTTTTAAATTCTTAAATCTTAAATTTGAATTTGTATTCCCACATTTAACCTTATTTATTGGATATTCTGCTTTAATTTGTCTTTTAACTTTTGTATTTTCTGTTTCTTATTGTTGTGAGCTGCCCTGAGTCCTTTGGGAGAAGGGAGGCATACAAATCCAATAAATAAATAAATAAATCCCAAATGAGTTGCTCATGATATATTTAAAGTACTGTTGCTGTTCTGTTTTCATTGGAGTGAATCCAAATGAAACTTTCCATTTCCCATATAAACTGTAGGTTTTAGAACAAGCTCAGATTCCCTTTTCTCCACTGTGGCGGTTGTACAGTAATACTTGGCTGTGTCTTCAGCTTTCAGTCTGGTCATGTCTAGATAAACTAGGTTCCTGGAACTATCTTTGGAGATTGTGAATCGACCTTTGAAAGAATTGGCGTAATAGACGCTGCTTTGATGTATCCGTGCGATCCACTCCAGCCCCTTTCCATCTGCCTGGCGGACCCATTCCATCCAGTAGCTATCGATATTCAACTCAGAGCATGTGCAAGTGAGACGAAGAGAATCTCCAGGTCTTTTCACTCCTCCTCCTGATTCAGCTATGGAAGCACCTGCCAGGACACCTGAGAAGAAAGACACACAAAGATTTCTGACGGATTTGTTGAGAAATGCAACTCACAATATTTTGGAACCAAAGGAAGAATGCCTTTAAAATGGAGAGAATAAAGATGACAAGCATTCAAATAGTCATTTTTACTGAATGTTTTGGAGGACAAAAATATGATAGGGCAATTTAGTTTAGTTTACCTTGTTTCCCCAAAAATATGACCCTGTCTTATATTTTTTTGAACCCTGAAATAAGTGCTTGGCCTTACTGCCATGCGCTCAAAAGCCCAATTGGGCTTATTATCAGGGGATGTCTTATTTTGGGAGGAAAAGGGTAGTTTCATTGAGTTGAGTTGAGTTGAGTTGAGTTGAGTTGAGTTGAGTTGAGTTGAGTTGAGTTGAGTTGAGTTGAGTGTCATTGCACCTCGTACAATGAAATTAAATGCCATTTTAGTGTACGGTATAACTATAAAAATAAAAACAGAAGGACACATCCTTCACATTCTATATAATAAAAACTGAAAACCCGATATTGCATTAATATTACACTATACCATGGAATTCAATATAAATAAATAAATAAATAAATAAATAAATAAATAAATAAATAAATTTCTATACCGCCCTTCTCCCAAAGGACTCAGAGCGGTGTACAGCCTATTAAAAGCACAAAGACAAACATAAATTAAAAATAATCAAAATTATTAAATAATTTCAGCTCAGATTTAAAACCCCAAAAATTTAAAACACCCAATTTAAAATCTTTACATCAATAGCCCGGCCACCGGAACAACAGTTCTGCCCTGTTTCTGCCCTGAGATAGAAGTTGTTTTTCAGTCTATTTGTCCTTGTTCTTATTGCCCTGTACCATCTGCCAGATGATAATAGTTAAAAAAAAAGGATGCCCAGGATGAGATGGATCTTTAAGAATGTTTTGAACTTTCTTAAGGCAGCGGGAGCTATAAAGCTCTTCCAAAGAGGGGAGAGGGCAGTCAATGATCCTCTGGGCAATGACGTTGACCCTCTGGAGTGCTGTCCTATCTGCCACTGTGCAACTGGCAAACTGATTTGCTGATTTTTCTGGTTATCTCTGGGTTAAGAGCAAGACAAAGTAAAACGTTTGAAGCTTGGAGTGCCTTTCAGGTTTTGGTTTTTTTTAGTTCTTTTGAAGGCTACTTGAATGATTATAGTTCTGTAGCAGATATACTGTATTTCTTTCTATGTTGTCTTACCTCCCGATGAACTTGCCAGTAGGAGAAAATACAGCCAGATAGTCATGATTCTGATGAGCTAAAAGAAAACGATAAGATGTTGTCAATCTACCAACTCAACTTTTTTATTTAAGGACTTCTGTCAAGGAAATCTTCACTTTTAATTTGCATATGGATGGTATAATAGCATTGAAGACTGAGAATCACACTGAGTTAATTGAGTTGACATATCAGGCTATATGTATCTTAGCAGGTTTCTAAATTCAAAAGAAATGATCTATTTATGATCAGCGACTTTACTGAAACATAATTTAAGTGTTTGTTCCTAGTTAGATTTATATACTTTCCTCAAGGAGCTTATAGTGGCATGAACACTGTTCTCCGTTCAGTTTTAATGCCTCACAATGGCATTCCTGTATGATAGGTTAGGTTGAGAGGTGTTGTTTGCTAAAAATGGGGCTTTAACCAAAACTTGAACTTGAAACAAACCTAAACTTAGAACAGTACTGCAAATCCTATGATACAAGTAACATGTTTCCCCAAAAATATGACCTACTCAGAAAGTAAGTCCTAGCTTGATTTTTACATGTGCACCCAATATAAGCCCTATCCCTCCAAAATAAGCCCTAATTAAGACTCTGCCCACTCCAGGGTACACAGGTAAAATTTAAGCTAGGGTAGGGATGGGGGTGGTGTAGCTGCCCTACTACTTATCTTTGGATAGTTGCAACCAGGCCTCGCAGACCTCGGTCCATTTTTTCTGAAGGCGTCTGTAGCCTATAACAGAATCCAGATCAATCCGGAGCTCTGTTATCGGCTTCAGAGGCCTTCAGGAAAGCCTTACTGGCATTGCCAGATGAAAAAGTTCCTGAAGGCTTCTGATAGTGAAAAAGAGGCTGGGGGTGAAGCTCGCAAGTGAGGTGAGTCACCCCCCTGAAAATAAGATCTGGTGCCTTTTTGGTGGCAAAAAAAAAGTAAGACAGGGCAGTGGTGAAATTCAAAAATTTTTACTACCAGTTCTATGGCCATGGTTTGGTGGGCATGGTGTGGTGTGGTGTGGTGTGGCTTGTTGGGCGTGGCTTGTTGGGCATGGCAGGGAAAGGATACTGCAAAATCTCCATTCCCACCCCATTCTGGGGCCAGTTAAAGTGGGTATTTGCCAGTTCTCCGAACTACTCAAAATTTCCGCTACCGGTTCTCCAGAACCTGTCAGAACCTGCTGGAAATTCACCCCTGAGACAGGGTCTTATTTTCGGGGAAACACGGGTACAATATTGTACTTTGATTGGAAAACTAAGAACGTATCTATCTGAGATGAATGTTTTGATAATTCAAAGATAATGTGTCAATGAATTGCAATTGGAGCTTCAAAGCAAAACAGGAAAGCTATGTCTACACAATGTACGCAACCTGTCTGATGAAAGATTAGAACCACCATTTGCTTAGAATTCTAAGCCCATTTAGAATTCATGTCAGTATTTTGATACTTGACTTATGAGGCCTTGGTTATTAATTTATCGAAACTGGGCAAATGCATTCATGCCATAAAATTTCATACAGAAATGTTTTTCTGAAAACAGCTTTTGTGAAAAGTTTAATCTGCTTTATCTGTGGACTTTCTGGTGCATTTTTTTCCCTAGTAGACTTGACTCTTATTTTCCTTTACTTTTACTTTTTCTTATTGAGGAGAAGGAAAAGAAGAATATTTTCTAGCATAAACAGTTGGAAATTATCATATTTCACCCTTTTCCATTCCTAAATGTACCAGAATAAATTTAGGGCATGATGAAGCTTCATTCTGAAAAGCATTATTAAATAAAATTACAAAGATGATGTTCAGTGATTGGTAATCAGCTGAATCAAATATTTTTCCCATATATTTTTTCAGAATGATACCCTATGATGATCTATTTCTGTGCTTGAAGATTTAAATGGGGGGCGAGGAAGAGGAAGAAGAGGAGGAAGGGAAAGAGAAAGAAGAAGAGGAGAAGGAGGAAGGAGGGAGGAGGAGGAGGAGGAGGAGGAGGAAGAAGAAGAAGAAGAAGAAGAAGAAGAAGAAGAAGAAGAAGAAGAAGAAGAAGAAGAAGAAGAAGAAGAAGAAGAAGAAGAAGAAGAAGAAGAAGAAGAAAAGACTGTCTCCATCCTTAGTTTTGAATAAAATGTTTCTGGCAACACAGAAGCATTTGTCACTGTCTAGCTTAATCTTAACATAGGTTTTACTAAATTTAGCTTCCACTTCTCAGTCACTTGTTGGACTGTTGGTCCTATTTGGGTTTTGGATCAATGGACTTACGAAGTAGCTCAGGAGTGAGAAAGGGTATTATATGAGCCATGGTGGCGCAGTGGTTAGAGTGCAGTACTGCAGGCTACTTCTGCTGACTGCCAGCTGGCTGCAATTTGGCAGTTCAAATCTCACCAGGCTCAAGGTTCATTCAGCCTTCCATCCTTTTGAGGTGAGTAAAATGAGGACCCAAATTGTTGGGGGCAAAATACTGACTTTGTTAACCACTTAGAGAGGGCTGTAAAGTACTGTAAAGTGGTATATAAGTCTAAGTGCTATTGCTATGTCCATTTCTAACACAATCATGAACCATCTGAGTGCAAGGAATGGTAGGTTGCATGAAATATAAAACAAATCTCCTTAAATTTAAATGACAAGTCTTTAAAAAACAGCACTATATAGATGAACTGGTAAAGAAAACAACTGATCCTGTTGTGGCTCCGTTACCTGAGCCTGTGTCATCGGCAGGAGAGGACTCCGAGAGTGAAGGAGAGGAGTTGGCAAGACCTCCCTCTCCAGGACCCTCCTCTCTGGCAATGCCGTCGGTGTCCGCAGAAGGGCAAGAGATAGGGCCAGGGCCAAGCACATCCACACAGCCACAGGTGGACAGTGATGAGGGTAATGAGTCTTGGCTGGATCCTCGGCAGCGTCGCAGAGATAAGCGCGTGCAACAGAAGAAAAGGCATGCCAGAAATTAGGCTGAGTCACTGGACCACACCCCACAGGGTATAAAAGGGGTTGAGGTGGCCATTCAGACTCTGTGACGGACAAAACTAACTACTATCGAGTCACATTCCAACATCGATAATGTTGGAAACAACATTATCAGCCTTGGATTTATTTTACGAACTGGACAATTCTTGACTGTGGGTATTTTGTTTATTGAGTAAAAGTTCTTGGCAAGCAGCTACTGGGTTGCTGCCAAGCGTCTTATCGGAAGAATTGGTTGTCTGCCAGTTTATTTAACCCCCGGCTGTCTGTTTGTGTGTGTGTGTGTGTGTGTGTGTGTGTGTGAGACGGGGACAGAACAGATACCTGCAATCATATTATGACAACAGAAGATTCCAGCCAGTCTAATCCATGCAGAGCACTCTGAGATCTCTTTGGATCTGGTGGCATCTAGCTAACATCCAGCAATATTGAGCACTTAAGTTGCCCATGAAGGGTGTTTACATCCATTGCTGTTTAGAACAATCTATGCGAGGCAAGATAGAGTAGATCAGAGTGACAGTTTAATGGCCATTTGGGAGCACAACAGTTTGTGTGCTGTTCAATTTCACTGTGGTTGCTACAGTAATAGAGACCGCTATCTTCAACTTTCAGCTGCCTTATCTCTAAGGAAGCGATATCCCGGGAATTATCCCTAGAGACGGCAAATCGGTCTCTCAGAGATGGACGGATGCTTGATCTACTGCCATCTGGATTGCTTTCTCCTATCCATTTAATTCCTTCGTCGCCGATCTTGTACGTCCACTGGATCCAGGACTGAATCAAAGAGGAAATTCCTTTGCAGGTTAAAGTTAAAGTCTCTCCGGGGAGTTTAATTTCTGAAGCGGGCTGGGTCAGAAGGTTCTGGAGCTCCACAGCTGCAAATCAGAAAGTGGGGACAAGATTACAACATGGGATTAGCATCAGGGATGAAATTCAAAATTTTTCCCACAGAAGGTTCTGTGGGCATGGCTTGGTGGGCTTGGCAGGGGAAGGATGCTGCAAAACCTCATTCCCACCCCACTCCAGGGGAAGGATGCTGCAAAACCTCCATTCCCACCCCGCTCCAGGGGAATGATATTGCAAAATCCCCATTCCCTTCCCAGTCCTGGGGGAAGGATATTGCAAAATCTCCATTCCCACCCCACTCTGGGGCCAGCCAGAGATAGTATTTGCTGGTTCTCCAAACTACTCAAAATTTTCACTACCGGTTCTCCAGAACCTCTCAGAACCTCCTGAATTTCACCCCTGGTTAGCATCAATCCAAGTCCTTTAAAAAAAAATCCATTTTTATGGCCATTTTATTCAATTGCTCGTAGTTGCACTCATGCGTTGGAGAGCAGAATGACTGAAAAAATGTTGAAAACTTTGTTTTCAAATTATAATTTAATGTAAACGTTAAAGCTTTATTTCACATATTCTCCCACTGTTCAAACATTACATTATATCCAAAATTCCTTACCCATTGAATCATACGATACTTTACTTGTTTGTTTTCCAGATTTAAATTCGATAACACTTTACATACTTTAGCAATAATATGTTCATCACTACCACACATTAGAGTATCCAGTATTCCTTTCCTAATTTCCCTAATATTTGCTTCTGTATTCTTTTTGTATGTCATATTATAAATTAATAAAACTACACAAAAAACTATTGAAATAGAAGGGTTTAGAGACCAGTTTGTCCACATCTGAATCCAGATGTTCCAAATTTCAGAAACCACAGCTTGCCCAATAAGACATTAAAGCTTCAAACTGATGTTCAGCATCCTAGTGTATTAACTATTTGTAACTTTGGCACTAGCAAATAATAGGATGGTACGTCGGCAAAATAATACATTTATAGGATTGTTGGCATGAAAGATGTAAGAAGAGTTGTGCATCAATACTATGAAATGGAAAGAGTAAGAAAATAAAATAAATTGACACCCCAACATGATGCAAAACATCTACAATACATTAATAAATACAAATAATGTACAACAATTTATTAATAAATCATTAACCATGGTAGACTCATTAAAAAAAAACACACACATCTCTGGAAAGAGTGCAGAAAAGAGCACCAAAGGTGATTAGGAGGCTGGAGGCTAGAACTTAAGAAAAATGGTTGCAGGAATTGGCTTTGTCTAGTCTAATGAAAATAAAAACACTGAAAGCAGTGTTCTGATATTTGAGGGGCTACCACAAAGATGAGGGGGTCAATCTATTTTACAAAACAGCAGAAGGCAAGACAAGAAGCAACAGATAGAAACTAATCAAGGAGAGAAGCAACCTAGAACTAAGGAGAACTTTCCTAACAGTGAGTACAATTAACCAGTGGAACAGCTTGCCTTCAGAAGCTATGGGTGCTCCATCACTGGAGGCTTTTAAGAAGAGAGTGGAGAGCCACTTGTCTGGAATGGTATAGGGTCTCCTGCTCAAGCAGAGGATTGGACTGGAAGACCTCCAAGGTCTTCTCCAACTGTGTTATTCTGTTAAAATAGTCAATTCACATCCTCTTCATTGGAGATGATGGACTGTAGGAAGCTTCATTAGTTAATTGAAGAAATATAAGATTTTCCTCGGTCCAATAGGGACATCTTGCCACATGGAAAAATAATAATTTCCTTCTTTTCTGGAAAATGTATCTTACTTACCAAAGAAGCTGTTCATCAGTATAAAAACTGTTATTAAAATCTTCATGATACTGTGTACCTATTAGCCAAAATAAAATAAAATGAAATAAAAACAACAATCACAATGTTCTTGGAACAGAGAACACTCCAAAAAGTGTTCAAGAAAAGATGCATGCATCTCATATAAATTGGATGAAAGGAAGAAGGATTTGCATAGGGTTGCCCATAATAGGGCCCAGTTTATTTGCTTCATGCTCAGCTGCTTAAACCTCGAAGTCCACTGAGCATTAGAGAACAGTCATTGCTTAAAAATGCGGAGTTACAAATACGTCAATGGTGATTTATTTCCATTTTAATTATCTTATTGGTCTCCAATTCCCTTCGCCCCATTCCCACAGGAATTTGATTTTAATTTTTTTTTCTGAAAAAGAGAACTTTTTGCAAATGTCAGAGACAGAGAGAGAGACAGAGGCACACACAGAGAGAGACGGAGACAGACAGAGAGACAGAGAGACAGAGACAGACACAGACACAGCACAGACAGACAGAGAGAGAAAAAGAGAGAGAGAGACAGAGACAGAGAGAGACAGAGACAGAGAGAGAGAGAGACACAGAGAGAGACAGAGACAGAGACAGAGACACAGAGAGAGAGAGAGACAGAGAGAGAGGGGGGGATTATGTTTTCCAAATGAATGCAATTTTTTTACATGCATACATTATTTTTTTACATTACATACATTAATTTTATACAATGATTATTGGTCATTATTGCCATGCCTGGAATCATGTATTTTTTTTTTCTCACTGGATTTATTTTAAGGGAAGAGTTGCTCTTCAACATCTGTGAATGTTGGTTGATGCTTCGAATTGACATATCGAATGCTTTAATCCCAACATTGCTTTGAAGGCATCAGAATAACAAGGAATGCCTGACTTGTACTTTAGTGGAAGAAATATCTATATATCTATCTCTATAACTATAGCTACAGCAATAGCTATAACTATCTATCTTTCTTTCTTTTTGTCTATATCACCTCTAAGTCTACATCTATATCTGTATAAACCTATATCTGTCTATATTATCTATGTCTGCCTATATCCATATATTTATTTATTTATTCATTTATTTATTTATTTATTTATTTATTTATTTATTTATTTATTTATTTATTTATTTATTTATTTATTTATTTATTTATTTATTTAATTTCTATACCGCTCTTCTCCTGCGGGACTCAGGGTGGTGTACAGCTGAGATAAAACATAGCATATAAAATTTAAAAACAGTTTAAAAAACAATTAAATAATTTTGGCCCAAAATTTAAAACAACCCAATTAAAACCGAATTCAATTAAAACTGAGAGGATGGGATCAAGCCAGCCCAGCTAGATGGAATAAGTGTGTTTTCAGGGCCCGGCGAAAAGTCCGGAGGTCTGATATCGTGCATATCTCAGGGGGCATGTCATTCCAGAGGGCAGGTGCTGCCACAGAGAAGGCTCTCCCCCTGGGGGTCGCCAGCCGGCACTGTCTGGCCGACGGCACCCTGAGGAAGCCCTCTCTGTGCGAGTGAACCGGTCGGTGGGAGGCTATTGGCGGCAGAAAGCGGTCTCGCAAATACCCCGGCCCTAAGCCATGGAGCACTTTAAAGGTGGTCACCAACACCTTGAAGCGCACCCGGAAGACCACAGGAAGCCAGTGCAGTTCGCGCAGGAGAGGTGTCACATGGGAGCACCCCGTCGCTCCCATAATCCCCCACGTGGCCGCATTCTGGACTAACTGCAGTATCCGGGTGCACCCCAAGGGGAGCCTCATGTAGAGATCATTGCAGTTGTCCAGGTGGGAAGTGACGAGTGCTTGAGTGACCGTGCGTAGGGAGTCCCGATCCAGAAAGGGGCGCAACTGGCGTATCAGGCGAACCTGAAAAAAAGCCCCCCTGGCCACGGCCATCATATGCTCTTTTAAAGACAGCCGTGCATCCAGGAGGACGCCTAAGTTGCGTGCCCTCTCCGTGGGGGCCAGTGATTCACCCCCAATAGCCAGCGATGGCACCAGCTGGCTATATCGGGACATGGATATGGGAAACATGGGAAAACATCTGCAGTAGTGGCCAAAATTGTGGAAACCTTTTGGGGAAAGTGTATTTTTGAGGTTTGATGGTTAATAGGTTGACTCAGCCTTCCATCCTTCCGAGATAGGTAAAATGAGGACCCGGTTTGTGGGGGCAATAAGCTGACTTTGTATAAAATAGAACACCGCTTGGGGGGGGGGAAAGCCCTACTAAGCAGGTATATACAAAAGTCTGAAGGCTATTGCTTAATGCATTGTAAGCCGCCCTGAGTCTCTGGAAAAGGGCGGCATATAAATCAAATAAATAAATAAATAAATAAATAAATAAATAAATAAATAAATAAATAAATACTGTAAATAATAACACCACTTTTTTTTTTTGTTTCAAGATAATCCTATTCCACTGCTGGAATGGCCTGGGAATAGCCCAGACCTTAACCCAATTGAAAATCTATGGAGCCGACTAAAGAAACTTGTTAGTCAGAAGCGACCCAGCAATAAAACCCAGTTAATAGAAGCAATCATTCAATCTTGGTTTCATATTATAAAAGCTGCAGAACTAAAAGACTTGGTTCACTCCATGGGAAGACGTTGTAAGGCCGTAATTCATGCTAAGGGTTACCCAACTAAGTACTAACTGACATGGTTATAATTTTGTATATCTCATTTCACTTTTCTTCTTTATAAATGCTATTTTAATAGCAAATCCTTCATAAAAGCTATTGCATTACATTCTTGATTAAAGTATCTTTCCATTGATATATAATTTCATGGTACTACTCCACAGAAATGGAGTTATTAGCTAGTTTTAGAAAATACACTTTTCCCAAAAAGTTTCCACAATTTTGGCTACTACTCACTCTATCTGTCTGTCTGTCTGTCTGTCTGTCTGTCTGTCTGTCTGTCTGTCTATCATCTATCATCTATCATCTATCATCTATCATCTATCTATCTATCTATCTATCTATCTATCTATCTATCTATCTATATCTATCTATCTATCTATCTATCTATCTATCTATCTATTTATCATCTATCTACTACCTATCTATCTACAGTATCTATCTATCTATCTATCTATCTATCTATCTATCTATCTATCTATCTATCTATCTATCTATCATCTATTTCTCTATTAAATTTGTTAACTGTCCAGCTTGCTGTCACCAAGCTTTGTGGCAATAGACAATCTCTAATATTTGTCTATTGAACCAGCCCACATAATGATTTCCTCTCTAACAGAAATCTCACTTAAATCAGGACAAGAGGACTATGGCCCAAATGGAGTCACTGAAAATACATCTGATGAATATCAGCATCTTGGGCCAAAAATGAACCTTCTTCATCCCATCTGGGAATAAATCAATTCCTTTTAAATGAACTTTAATTTTTTGGCATATTTTATTACCCTCAATGAAACATTTTTTCTTTAGTACATGCCATTTTCTTCAGAGCTTTTTTGACATCCTTGTTCCTCAGAGTGTAGATGAAAGGGTTGAGTAGAGGTGTCACAATAGTATTAAGTACAGAAACTGCCTTGTTTATTTCCAAAGAAGAGTTGGAATTGGGCTTAACATACATGAACATTACAGTTCCATACTGGATGGATACAACTGTAAGGTGGGCAACACAAGTAGAGAAAGCCTTCTGTCTCCCTGAAGACGAGGAGATGCGCATTATGGTGAAAATGATGAAGCTATATGAGATGGCAGTCAATAGGAAAGTACTGAACAGCAGAAGGACTGATCCCACTAACACCATCTGTCCAAGTAGATATGTATTAGCACAAGCTAAACCCAGCAAGGGAGTCACATCGCAGTAGAAGTGGTTGATCGTATTGGGACCACAAAAAGGGAGCTGGCACAGTAAAACTGTCTGGAGAATGACAGTTAATAACCCTCCCAACCATGAGCCCAAGGCTAGCTGGAGACAAAGTCTGTAATTCATGATGACGCTGTAATGCAAAGGTTTGCAGATGGCAATGTAGCGATCGAAGGACATCGAAGCAAGCAGGCAGAATTCTGTGGCTCCAAGGAAGAAGTGGAAAAAGGCTTGAGAGATGCAACAGTGGAAACAGATGGACTTCTTCTCCGTTAGAAAGTGAGCCAACATCTTGGGTGACAGGGTGGTGACGTATAAGACCTCCAAGGAGGAAAAGTTCCCCAAGAAGAAGTACATAGGATTGTGAAGGTGAGGATCATAGACAACAATGACAACGATCAAGATGTTTCCAATGACTGTGAGGAGGTAGATGAAAAGAATGGGGACAAAGAGATACTTCTGTAACTCAGCGGAGGCCGGAAACCCTTTCAGGATAAACTCAGTAATCACAGTTTGATTTATCGAATGCATTTGCGAGGATATTGTTTGCCTAGAGCTGTCAAGGACAAACAAGAGGAAAAAGATCACAGGCTGGTTATTTTATTATACCATTTCAATGGGTCGTCCCTTTTTTTAAATGAAGAAAATGTCAGAGAGTAGATTTGGCCCATATTTCAAAAACACGATTTATAACATAAAATACAGAATCACAGATTAGATGATTGGATAAGAATTATTTCGGGGTATTCATTTGTGTGAGGTACACCAGTACTCTTTATACAATATTCATTTCTGTCACTTCCAATAGCCAACTCTTCTGGATTTTCACCAAACTTTGGGTGGCTTACAATCTTTCAATCAAGACAAGCTTCAATATTTCTCTATTGAAGCAGAGGAGATAATGATTTTCTCTCTAACAGAAATGTTTCCATTAGAGCAATGGTTACAATGCCGAATTGCAGGTTAACTCTGCCCACAGCCAGGAGTTCGATCCTGACTGGCTCAAGGTTGACTCAGCCTTCCATTCTTCTGAGGTAATATAAGGTGAAGACCTAACATCCTTCCGAGGTCAGTAAAATGAGGCAATGTGCTGACTCTGTAAAACTACATAGAGAAGGCTGTAAAGCACTGTGAAGCGATATATAAGTCTAAGAGCTATGCCACTTCTATTGCAAAATATTAATAGTAATCTAAAAATATAGAAGTGCTGAAAAACAATAAAGAAGAATAGGAACCCAGGGATCACT